AATGGTTGTGAGGACTTAACAACAGCTGTATAATATGTAGAAGCAATGTCTTCGAAACGACAATTAAAATACTTGTCGGTAATGCATAAAAAGAAAACTTTTGGATGTTTCATTCGCAACAGTCAGTAATGCTGGTGGGCGGGCGGTCCCTCCGGACTACGCCGGTAGGTAGGGCGGAAGACCCTCCTCAGCCTTCTTTCAGGGAATGGGTGGTTGGTGGTTCGGGTGAGAAAGATGAGACGGACGAAATGACGACAGAAGAGAGTGAAAGATTATCTGTGGAATATTACTGCCTCAGCCTCAGCATTTGCCTAAGTGATCCAAGGAAACCACAGAAAAACTTGGACCAAGACAGACGAACCCGGAATTGAATCGGCGTCCTCCCGAATGCTAAGAAATGGCCTAAACCTTTAGGTCATGCCGCTGTGTGGTAAAACATAAAACATCCCACATCCTTACTGAAAATGACCCTTCGTCAAACTTTGGATTCTGTACTTGGAAGTCCTTACGGAAAAATACAATTTTAGGGGACCATATCTCAAATAGATCACTTCTTAAGACTCGATCTACACATCGAGAACTACCAAAATGCAACGTTTCTATATGTTTGACAGAGAGCCATTTTCTGCAGGATTCCGGTAGATCCTGGCGGATCCTTTTCTTTGACAGGAATTTTGCCTCTAACTGGATTAGTAGCATTCAGGAAATTTTGGTTAGAGAATTTTAACTTTTGTAGCTGTAGATATATTATTAGAAGGATCTTCATTTTATTATTCTTATTATCATTGAAGATTTCAGCAATTTTAATGGGCAAACAGCAGGATTGCCTTCACTTTATAGCTTCTCTCAAAATTTGGATCATACATGACGGCATTTTTCGTTATTAAATTTCTAATTTCCACTTATTATGAATTATGCAATTGGAAAATAAGTATCTAAGTATACACACTATCAGGGTTCATGAAACGAACAATAAATTACTCCGTAGACAACACATTAATTTTAACGAAGACATTAAAATAAAGTTTTATAAAGTTACGTGTCGGCCATAAAAGCCGCTTTTTATTATTTAATGGTTAAGTAGGTCACTAAGAAGGTTTTTAATTCTATGGCCATACGCAGCATACAGCCCGGCATTTCTTTCACGCATTAGGTATTGTTTCTATGTTATTATTTACACAATGAAGCAATTTTTACATTTTGTTATATGTCATATATCCTAAAATCCTAATACATTAAAAGTCGCTTACAAAATTTTTTGCAAGTTTTTTCGAGACACCCCAGTACGTTATAGAATACGGTACTTATAAGTAGACAGTACGGTCCTATATTCCGCTAAAATTTTCTAGATAATATTCTTATAAATGCTTGCCTAATACAGATAAATTTTTTTCATTTTCCAGTGCGTGACAACTCAATAACAATATCCTCAAAAATAATGATTATAATGATAATAAAAATATTAGTAACGAAATGTGCGTAAAATTTTTTATCTTTTTACTTTAGAAAGACACAACGAAGACTTTTAAGTCTTTATACACGTAAATAATTGCAATTTAATGACAATATTATCTATTTTTGAAGTGAAACATCTTTACGCAAGGTAGGGTAAGTTCGTTTCATGCGAGTTGCTATGTAACGAAATCATGCAACGGATATATCGCTTGAGCCGAGGAGCGCGCTTCAATGCAACGTTCGTTACAGGCAACTCCGGAATGTATGGTGTAAAATTTAAATTCACAGTGTACAAATAATATTAAACCAATTCCTTAACCCCTATCCCGGTATGTTTGTGTGTTCGAAAAAGTTTCACTTCAGTAGCGTGTTGTATAATTACATGTTGTATTTTTTTATTAATACAATTACATTGAATGTCGTTTCAGCTGCGTATATACAGCCCTTTTGCAGCCAAGATGATAGGTTGATAACAAATTGGTTTATAATAGTTTAGTTGACAAAGCCAGAAAATCATCAATTAGAATTCCGCAGTGATATTCCACTATAGTATCTTAGGAAGCATTTGGAAAGAATTGATTAACTACTAATATCGAAAGCTCGGGGGAATACCATGATATAGACTCTAATCGGAATTTAAATTTTGTAAAAAACTATTTTTTGGATGTATTTTACACATTTTCTGTAAATGTTAAATAAAGGAAACAATTTTTAATTTTGTAGTGTGTGCATAATGCATATACATAGATACTCCATCATCATCATCATCATAAGGTCGTCAGTCTTAAGACTGGTTAGACACGTACCTCCACTCTTTCCTATCCTGAGCTAAACTTAGCATTTCCCTAAAACTAGAACAGCCCACATCCTTAACTATTTGCGAACAGTAATACAGTAATCCAATTTAGGTCTACCTCTACCCCTCCTAACTCCTGTTTCTACCTCTAATATGTCTCTGACTAGACCTTCACGCCTGATACTCCATATAAAATGTAAAATATACATAGTTTTGTTTATTAACATGCAATACAATTCATTCATTCATGTCTATTTTGAAACGGAAATTGGACCTTATTAACCCTCGTCCTCTGATCCACATTTTTCAAATGATAAACCAAGTCAATGTTCGTGTTTTTGGATGAATCTTATCGTGAAATTTTTGTTTAGATCGGTACATTATATTCTACATACAATACCAGTGCGCAAACAGATTGCCTTCGTGATATTGCTTCTGTTCTTGAAGCTCACCATAAAAATACTGCTCACTATGAAGCATGTAGCCCAAAATCTCAGTCGTATTATTAAATTACCCTAAAAACCAATTCTCCACCCAGGGACGTACCAACTTTATCTTTGCATAGACTAAGAGTAGGCCACGCCGTTATGTCGTATTTTAAGTTCCATAAAACCCAAAACGTCTTAGGGTAATCATTTCAGCAAATTACTTATTTATAGCTAGGAAAACTAAAAAATGTCTCAAACCACATGTTTATTTTCACCGCTGCCATTCCTGACTCCTCCTCGAGTGAAATTTTTTTTCGTAAATAATTTAGCAATCATGTTCATCAGGAAGAAAATCGCAAAAGCTCTCGATTTAGATAAAGCATCATTAAGTGAAGTTGAATGCTTGCGGTTTTTAAAACCGCTTATGCCGATTTAACCTAACTTATAGGGTTGTTCGGAAAGTCATTTCGTTTTTTCCCGACAGAGGATTTAATTGTATTCTTTGGCACCCAACTTCACATTTAAGCCGTATAATTTTTATATGCTTTGAGAGCTCATATAGCAAGGCTTGTGTGTGAAAAATTCCAATTAATTCTACGCAGTAGTTTTTGGTTGGTGCCCTTTTAAATATGGAGAGCGATAAGCAGCATTTTCGACATATCTTACTGTTTTACTACAGAAAGGGTAAAAATGCTGTTCAAGCCAGAAAGAAATTGACTGATGTGTATGGAGAAGGTGTGTTGACAGTACGCCAGTGCCAGAACTGGTTCGCTAAATTTTGATCCGGCAATTTTGATGTCGAAGATGCACCACGTTCGGGAAGGCCGGTTGAAGCTGATAAAGACGCGATAAAGGCATTAGTTGATGTGAACCGGCGAATAACAACACGTGAGATCGGATTGAGGTTAAATTTATCAAATTCAACAGTTTATGACCACTTGAAAGACCTGGGGTTATCCTCGAAGCTCGATGTATGGGCTCCCCATGTTCTCACAGAGAGAAATCTGTGTCTGCGATTCGCTTCTCAAACGTTACGAAAATGATCCGTTTTTGAAGCGCATCATCACTGGGGACGAAAAATGGGTTGTATACAACAACGTCAAACGCAAGAGGTCATGGAGCAAAAAAGATGAACCGGCTCAAACCATTTCCAAAGCCGATATTCACCAAAAAAAGGTGATGCTGTCTGTTTGGTGGGATTTTAAAGGAATCGTTTTTTTTTAGCTTTTACCGGATAACACAACGATTAATTAGGAAGTCTACTGTCATCAGCTGAACAAACTGAATGATGCACTTCAACAGAAAAGGTCAGAACTAATCAACAGGAAAGGTGTAGTGTTTCACCAAGACAACGCGAGACCTCACACAAGTTTGGTCACTCGCCAAAAGCTTTTACAGCTTGAATGGGATACAATGCTACACCCACCATATTCTCCAGACCTGGCACCATCGGATTATTATTTGTTCCGGTCACTCCAAAATTTCTTAGACGGTAAAACCTTCACCTCAAATGAGGAGGTCAAAAACCTCCTCGATCAGTTTTTTGCCAGCAAAGACCAAAAATTTTATGAGCGTGGAATTATGCTACTACCAGAAAGATGGCAAAAGGTGTTGGACCAGAACGGTCAATATATAATTTAATAAAGTATTTGTTTATTATACGAAAACTGTCTTTCATTTCCACAAAAAAAAAAAACGAAATGACTTTCCGAACAACCCTATAAATTAAGCTTACATTCATGGTGGGTAGTCCAGAACTTAGGCCCACGCGATCTCGTCTGTAGCTACATTCCTGCCTCCATCCCTTGAACACCTACTACGCATATTTCAAAATGTCATAATTACTTAATTGTGGAAAGAAACACGTATAATCAACTTGTCCAATTTAATACGTAACTAGCAAACAGTAAAGTAGCGAGATATATAAACGCCATGCCCTTAAGCAACGTTTTTTACACCACATATCTTCTTAACATGCTATGGGTATTTTAAGTAATATAAATTACTACATTTACAAGCACGTAAACAAACTTACCAGTATTAATGTAAGTTAAATCACAGCTTCAAAAAAAGATGTAAATTACACTGAAACGTTTTTTTATCTTAAATGAAAAAAAAATACTAATTTACCTGTTGTTATCTAATATTTTTATGTGTCCAGTACATACAGTGATTGCGTTAAAATCTTCGTTTATTTATTAAATGCATACCAAACAAGTCAAATGTTGCTTGCAGGCTGTTTAGTTAACTGATTACATACTTAACATTGTCCTAAATGTCTAAATGAAACTTCATACAAATACAATTACACCTTACTGATTGAGTATGGGGGTTCTTAGCTGGCACTAAGTCAATATAAAGATGCGATTTGCTAAAAACTACTATTCTCATGTCGCATCTGCTAGTCAACGCCATCAAAATGAAGCAGGTGAGTTTTTACCTATTACAAAAATTTAAAAGTACCTGTTAATTAATGGCGCCATGTACTACACTTAATTGAACAACATTAAGTGCTCAACAATATTTTTCTTTAGTGACAGTAGGTCTTTATAATTATTATATATATTAAATGATTATCTCATTAATTAAAATTTTAAGGAAGTATTTCCCATATTCTGGAAAAAATTTAGCTGACAATCGAAACGTCGTTCAAATACGTGTAACTAAAATTTTAAATTTTTGATTTTATTGACGATTTATTGGTGGTTTTAAACAATTCCCTTTTGTATTCGAAATGAAATAATCATCGTAATTGAAAGTGATTATATGTATGTATGTTTGTATATATGATTGTTGCATGTATGTATGGATGTATGTATAGATGTACATAAGATTAATTTTCTCATCGCGGTTATTGTGTAAGTTAAAGTTCATAAAAATTGCGAAAGATAATATCAGCACGAAGTTCAATAGAAGCATTTGCAGCTAAAACTGATTGTTAAGGATGTAACACATAACAGAAATTCTTTTGACTGTGCATAATTACTAAAAATTATTATAATTGCTGGGATGGTTGAGGATACTTTCTAAAAATAAATTTTATTCTTGCACGTATGTTAATGATTTTGAGTTATCTATGTTCGGGGTGTATCAGTTTATTAATTCAATGGGTTAACGCACATATAACTTATTAATTTTACTGTCTTTTTAACAAACACATTTCAAAACTTTCCCAATTAATTTTAATAAGTTCAAAATTTGCGGCACGATTGTATGCTTTCAGTGTACCCTTACTTTATAAGTTAAGCATTATGGATTACAACCAGAATAAATTATAGGATCATCTCATTTATTGGCTGAATTTTGATTAATATGATAGCAACATGATAGTCTTGCCACATTTAAAAAATTTCGGGATTTGCGAAAAAAATGAAATCAAGTTATATTAATATTTATGTTAATACAGCAGCACTAGCAGAAATCAGTATTTCTTTGCAAAAAATTGATGAAAAACAGCCTTAAAGGATTATATTTTATATCCCAATACTAAAATTCAGTAAAATTGTTTTAAATATAACAGATAACATTGGAGAAACAAATTTTTTAATCTCACGCATTTAACTAAGTAGGAAAATAACAATATGGTTGAGTTCCCTCTGAACAAAATTATAGAAATTTATTTTTCTGAGCGTTAATGTTAAGTTTGTATATAATATGCATGTAATAGATGGTGAAAGGATCTTCCCAAGGATTCTTAAAAGTTAATATGGTATGATAAAATATAAATTACTAACCAAAAATTTAATGTTATTTGTGAAACCGCTTCGATTTGGTCGGTGATGTATTAACCCCGGCTGTTGCGTACTGATGAGAACTAATAAGTCCGAAATTATTGACCATAAACTTAATTTTCTCTGTTAAATACAAATTAGTCTGACATCAACATGTTTAGTGTAAAGCCATTGTCAGAATAGAAGCAAATTTTTTTTGGTTGATATAAACTGTTTTTTTGCCCCTAACCTGACGTTAATTTGACGTAATTATCTAAAATAAGAGGTAAAAATTGAAATTTAGTCGGTCACTCACGAAAAGTTCTTATTAATATAAAGAAAACAACGTTAGAAAGCGTTTAAATGTTCTACATGTTACATTAACCTAATTTAAATGTTTTTATCAGGAAGTTTTCTAACAGTTATAATAGAACTTTTAAGTGAAAAACAAATTCCTTCATGTTACTATTAGTTTGCATGTGCCTCAAAAAGAATGATGACAACTAATTGTTTGTTTTTGTTTAATTACCTGAATACTCAGTAATTATTACTCTATTTAATTTATTACAACAAATAAAAATGGTGCATTTTTGAAAATAGAATATTATGATGAAAATAAGATCTTAATTGGCTAAAAATAATGTGAATGGTATTCTAAATTGAACACTAAGGCAAAAACCTTGAAAAATCTAACACGTGTTTCGACAGCCAAGGTGTCATCTTCAGTTAATATTCGTTAATAATGTTTGTAACATTATTAAAGAGGTCAAAGTCAGAATAATAAATATGAAATTATTGCTGCTCCTAATTTATAGAATAGGTACTTAATGGTCATTAAGTTTAGTCTCAGCGTTCCCCTACAACTTATCGATAATTTATTATAAAAAATCACCGTTTCATAGTTTAATTATTTTAGTATTTCTTTAATAAACGTGCTACAATTTCCTCCTGTTTCATGAATTACTTTTAATGAACTATTAGCTGATTGATCCTTGGAAAGGAAAAACATTCCTCATCACATTATCCTGTTCCATATCTCCTTTAAAAGGTTTACAACTTTTACGGTAACTATTTACGTCTATAAAAATAGAAAGCCTTGGGGCTCCATTTGGGCCTCTTATACTAGATACATTATAAGTACCAAATTGATAAATTAATCAACAGAATGTCCTAACCGAAATATATAGTCTAAACGAAGCAATCTGATCAATACTAAATTCGTCCCTTCAAATACAGAAAAGTGGCTATTTAACTATAGAAAAAACATAAGTCATAACTAATTTGATATCCTTAAGGCATACGTTGCACCCTATTTTCATGTCGCATCATAAAACAGCAGGAAAGACAAAAGAGCCGCATGTCATTCTCAATCTTGTAAAAATGCGATAATAATCAAGTTTATTTTAGTGTTTACCATAGAAAAAATAAAATAGAAAGTAATTTTAACGACGAAATCATTAGTTTAGTCGGTAATAACAAGTATGTAATAACAACGAGCATGTTTGCGTAGGATTTAATTCGCGTTCTGTGTCGGGTCACATTGAATCGAGGTAATCTTTGTAAAATCTTATTGTAAAGGAGTCGGTAATGTCAAACCTGTTATGATGTTTCTGCTTAGGGTCGTTTATGTAGTTTTACACGGTTATGTAATTTATTCAATCGTTATATCAATTCAAAGTTCACGCGGACAACGTGAGCTTCTTTATTGCAAAATGCCACCTGATTCATAACACATATTTACGTACTTACACATGTACGTTTATGTTTATGTGTAGTACGTATAGCGTACACACGTACGTACAGTTTTATTCCTAGAAATAAATTACAGCATCATCTTCGGCGTCACCCTTTCACGCTTTTTTTTAAACCATTGTTCAACCGCCAGAACCCGGAACTGCTTAAGTATGTGTTTATCTCTAGATAGAGCTTTTTGAGAAATCCTGGATTTTATAAAAACATCTGCATTGCCTAAAATTTCCCCTTAGAATCGGCAAAAATTCTAACGTATTGATATTTTGATGTCTCGAAATTTATAGACGTCCCCTATCTCTAGAGCCACTAATATTTTTTGATCCATAATTATAGATACGTACAAAATTTTAAATTTTAAAATTAAAAGGTTTCTAAATCAATAAATCCAGTTGCAATACGGCCGACTCCAGGACTAATTATGACCTAGCTTTGGATTTTCATACCTGGGAAATCATAATTATGTTCATAAATAGAAGGTGATGCAACCTCATAACCCCCACCAAGCTGTAATTCAAATAATAGCCCTATATCGCATAATAAATTTTGATTTGAATAGTAAACGATAATGTAAACTCAAGCTCTTAACAATCCTACAATCCAGAATTTATTTTAAAAATCTAAGAAACAAAGGAAAGCATAAACAACGTACTCAAAATGGAGATAATATGAAAAGTTAATCGTGTAGTAAATAATTTTATTAAAAAGCAATACGAGAAAGCAATTATTGATCTTGTTAAAAAAGAAATAAAAAATTACATTGCGATATTTAATTAAATTTTGTCGTATCTATATGAACTTTTCAGATTTATATTATTTCTTTTCTTATCTATCAGGTATAATTTAATTTGTCTTAGGCAACTAATTAAAATAAGATGGTGTAGAAAAACCAACTTTTTGCAGCCTGTAGATAATTCCCCAACTTCTCTAAAAAGTATGCATTGTATTAAAAAAATTTTAGAATTCAATTTCATTGAAGAATATATTTATAATTGCACCAATATTGACATTTTCTCAATGGAAATAGATTGTTTACACAGAGAAGTTGTAAAATTTCAACGTCAGTTAGTATACTAAGGTCAAGCACAAGTGATAAATAATCAAACGTCGAAAGAAATAAAATTTCATGATAAATAGAAAATTAGTAACGTATTAACAATGTTTAAAGATGCCTAAAATTACTCAAAATTAAATTTTGTCTATAATCTATGAGTATTTGGTATTTTCCTCATACTTCCATGCGTTTAAATAATCAGACAATGTTGTATTTTTTATGTTATTTTTCAGATAACCTTGTACCATAACGTACTCTTTGATTGCTTCATTACTTTCCTGATCTATCGTCAAGATAATCTACAAGCAATATCGTAAAATACAAAAAAAGGAACGAAAAATTTCCCACACTTGACTTCCATATATAAAATTTCCTATTTCTTTTATTTTAAAAACGATGTATCTTTAAAATACAAGTGTAACATGTATCAGTTTTAGTTATCAGTTTTTTAAGAAGAGTAAGCGCTAAAGTTTAAATTAACATTAAATGAAAGGTAATATCCAAATTGAAAGTGCACAAGTAAATGACAAAACAAACGATGAATGCACTCCTTGACGACAGATCCGGAAATCAAATCGAATAGATCACGATAAATTATTACTTTGACCTTCTTTTTAATTCTCCACCTTGTACAATATAAACACTTACTTAATTGTTTGATTAATTGCGGTACTTCTTCATTTGCTGTAACTTGTCGCCTACCGTGTGTATGTGATATGGTAAAACAATTATTTATAGAAAAAGTAGGTATGCTATTATATTTTACAATTAAAAATTCAAAGCGTCGACAAATCTTCATCACATCATCCGCATCAGTTATTTTATATAGCAAATAGAAAATTTTTAATTTCTAATTTCAGTTTTCCTCTTAATTAAGTCTACCAATAACCGCTAATAATTAAAAAATCAGTATTTAGGGATCGTGGTGAATCAAACTAATTAATTTTTTAATCAAATTGCTTCAATTAAAAAAAATGTAAAGAAAATTCTTTTTACCAGTCATATAATAATGTAAACAGGAGGTAATAATTTTTGGTAGATATCAACTAGAAGATAAATATTAAGTTAAGTTAATTATTATATCTATCGGCATTTAGCCTCAAGGTCAATTTAATTAATAAAAATTGTAAAGAAGTAAACTACTTTAACCTACTTAAAGAGTTCATCTATGTGACCTCAATTGAAAGATGTCAGTTAAGTAATTACATACCTCCAAATCAGTGAAACATCACAGTAATTTCGGCAATCAATATTTTCATGTCAATTTCTTAAAGTTTCTGCATAATAAATTGAAACTAATGGAAAATACACTTTTTTACTTAGACAGATTGCAGGGTGGCACAAAAAGCCAACTATTTGTCGAACGAAAACATTATTTCAGTATAATTACTAAAAAAAATTAGCAAGAAACAACTTTTTACTATTTTTCCAATTTTTGATATTCATTAGCGACATTTAATCAAGTTAAGCTTTGAGAACATTCTTAAATCTTAATAATAATCTATGTAATATATTTTCATTCAAATTCGACAAACTACGCACCCTCATCCCTGTCCATATACCAATGGTAGTTTTGTGTAAAACTTAGCATCAACTATAAAATTCAAGTTTCCTATTTTGTTTAAAACTTAAAAACCGTTTCTCGTGCTGACATTATCGAAGAGAGTGCAATTGTTATTTTTATATCCATTGCAATTTTTAACTAATATAATAACACTTGCCATTAGTTCATTGACATTTCAAGTAACTTTATTCGTATATTAATAAAGGTTATCTTGCTGCAATAATTATTATGGGTTTAGAAGACATCATAATTTCGCACGTCGATGCTAATCTGTTGCATAAAAAGTTATTTAAATATTTATGAGACACCTTATAAAATTAAAATTATACTTATAATAATCATTGTAGGTGCATTTCCCTTTAGGTATTCAAAATGATCATTTTAAGCGATATTCCGCTGAAGTTACAAAGTTTAATTTTTTTAGCGTTTTGTCTTAAACTTATAATTTAATTTAAGTTTATTGAAAATACTTTATCCCTTCTAAGGCATTAATATATTTGTTTGGTAGAGAAACCAATGTTATATTATAGGTATATAGGAAAACTTTTTTTTAATACCAATTTTCACATAAAAAAAAAAATAAATTAGATGAGATTGAACTTTAAGAATAATAATAATACCGCACCAAATAGTGCTGAACACCTTTTGTAATTAGTGTTTATTTATTTATAGTAAAGATCAAGCTTCACTTAATAACATAAAATATCGAGAATTAGGTATGCACAAACTCAGGACATTAATAACATATTACTAACGTATTAATGTCATCATTATAACAAATGAACAGTTTAAAACGTTAGAAATGTCATTCATTTCACGCTGTCATTATTTCCTCTCTTGTTTTCCAATTAATAATGTTCAACAATAGCTTCGTTATGTATTAGCTTCATATATGGCATTTGAATTCAATCTGAAACGTATTCATCATATCGTATCTGCATGCTGTAAACACATGTTTGTGTCTTTAGGTTTACCGACCCGGAAATCACGTAATTAAGGGATATCTTCATTAGTTACATAGAATTACATTTTTTTTAAATACCATCGAATATCCCCTAGTATAAGTTGTCAAAACATACATGTTGTTTAATCAATTATTGATTTATCAGTAGCATAGAATAGATGAATACATTCCTAGGTAATTAAAAGAATCACAGTATGTTTACGATCTTACAATATTATTTCCGAATTAATTAGAAATAATGTACATTTTCGTTAATTAATTTCATTCTTTTGTTCGATATAATATCAACTATTCTAAAGTTAATATTTTTCCATGTATAAAAAAAGTCAAAAACTTGGTTTACTAACTATTCCGATAAAACCAAATTTTTTGTAGTGATATGTACTTAAACCATTTAATTAACTTATACATATGTGTAGATAGATTAATGTGATAATAAAATTATCTACTGTAATCATTTCACGTGTAAATTCAATCAAATTAGGTATATAGAAATTTTCCAATCTGTGATATTTATCTTCCCATGTTTACACCGAAGTATATAAAAAAACTATTAGAAGATAGCATTGAAATTCGTATTTTCTGTGTTCGGGGAATTAGATAAGAAACATTCCATATCGTTTTATAACGAAGATAGAAACGAAAGCAAAAGTTTCCGTACTGATAAATATAATATAAAAACTAAAATTTCAAGACGATTATTCATTTCAAACACTACTGTCTCGCTGAATCATTAGATTCTTGGGGTGAAGCGGAGAAACAAACAGATAGTGTTTGGAATAAATATACTTCTTGAAACTGCACTGTTTTTATTATTTATCAGCATGTATGAATAGCGTTAAAGTGAGCAGTCTCAATAAATAACTGACCAAAGCAAAGAAATTTCTGCAGAGCGCGTCTATGTAATATTCAAATGTATGCATCGCCATCTGGGGAGTATTCGCTGCTACTGAAAGATGTATAAATTCGAATGAGTAACGGCTTCCACAATTGATAAAGCCTTTCGTGTTCTGAAAAAGGCTAACAAAGGCCAAAATTTACTAAGACATGTACTTTCCAGTTTTTCTAAAATGAAGTTAACCGAAAAAACAAATATTTTCTTATCAACTTTGTAAAATATATTAGTACATCTTCTTTCTAGGACTATATACGTGCCTTTAAATTACGCATCCTCTAATTCTCATAGTCTTACAAACATAAAATCTGACATATCAATTTATTATATTTTAACGTCGATATATACCATATAAGTATTTGCAATCATCTTCAAAAATCTATAAAAAGATATCAGAAAATTAAATAGATATTGTCGAAAATATAAACTGCAAATATATCTCCAATGTTTGAAATGAATAAAAGTAAAATTATTGAAAAAAGTTTATATATTTCCTGTTGCTGACGAATTCTTCTTTGAAATATTAGCTTGAATTGGATTAGTGTTTTTGAATGTTACTGGTATTTAATAATTTTAAATAGCAATTATACGTTATAATATTTGTATGATAAATTAATAAATCATGAATCAAATTTGTCAATTATTATTTTCTTACCGTCCGTCATCATCATTTTCTGCTTAGCTGAACAGCATATAATAATATCGTCCTAATTATACGTTTAGTACAATTTTTATCAAATTAATTGTTGTTATAAAAGGTTTCTTCTTCAGGTTTTAGTTTTGTTTTGCTCCCTGTGGATCCTCGCTCTGGCAAAACCACAAGGCAGTCCTGATCAAAGCGCCACAATTCTAAAATACGACAATGAGAACATTGGAGTGGACGGCTACAAATTCGATTTCGAAACCAGCAACGGGATCTCCAGAAACGAAGAGGGCACTTTGAAGAACGGAGGAAGCGAAAACGAAGCTATCGAAGTCCACGGCAGTTACACGTACACAGATCCAAAAACTAATCAGAAAATCACAGTCACCTTTGTTGCTGACGAAAACGGCTACAAACCACAGACGTCCATCGCTTAGACTGCTACTAAATCAGACCGACTATGTACTAACAAAGACAGGAAAAATAACGCCTCGTCTCATTAGGGAATATTTTTAAGCGGACCACATCTTCACCCAATATCTTTAATTTAATGTGTGATATCATGTGCCTTATACTGATGATTTCTTGTTTTTATTATTATTATTTTTTTTTATTTTCGATTGCGTGCAACTGCTCTTAAAATAAATTGGATGTTGTTTTTCGATTTTGCGTGTATTTAATTACGAATTACTATTACTATTACTATTACTATTAATATAA